GAGGCTGTTTATCTCCGTGAGGGGCCTCCAAGCTGCACTGCCTCCCAGAGGGCTAGGGCGCCTGGAGTTCCCCAGGATTCCCAGCTGCTGGGCTAAGTGTCCCGGGACGTTTCCATCCAGCTGTGGGGTCCCTGTCCCTTTAAGTCTTTCGAAAAGTACTTGCTTTTCTTTGTCCCAGGGGCGCCGGCTGCCCAGACCCACTCACAGGTTTTACTGTCCCGTTTCCCTAGTATCATGCACCCCACGCACTGTGTGTCTTCGCTCCAGTGTGGATGGCTGGGGCTGGGTGTAGTCCTGGGCTCCCTCTCCCTCCCACTCCGACTCCTCTCCTCCCGCCGGGAGCTGGGGTGTGGGGCACTCGGGTCCTGCTGGGCCACGGCTTGTATCTTACCCCCTTCGTGAGGTGCTTGGGTTCTAACAGGTGTAGATGTAGCCTGGCTGTTGTCCTGTATCTTCTGGTCTCTCTTTTAGGGATAGTCGTATTTGTTGAATTTTCAAAAATTTATATGGTTTTGGGAGGCAATTTCCACTGCTCTACCCATGCCGCCATCTTGTCTCCCCACACAAGGTTTTTTGAAAAATGTAAATCAGACTTTAAATTTAGGGGATTTTGTATGAAAAAAATCCATATTTCTTCCTGCTTTTGCACACATGGATGGCTGGCCTGCAGTCTGCATGGCCATGGTGGACTGGAGCTCAGCAGTGTTCCTTCCACTAGATCAGGCTCATGCCTGCCTGGTCACCAGTGTATCCCCACTTTTTCCTGCTGACTCCCTGATACTGGGGCCAATGTGTACAGCTATTATTGTCACTCTTGCGCTATTTTTTTATTGTTATAGTAGAGAGATATTCCTCTGTGTCTTTCTTTCTCATAGGTGAGAAAAAAAAAGATGGTCTTTCTCCTTAATCTCTCTCTGCTTCACTTACTGTCATTATCTGCCTGTTCTCCTGTGTTTAGGACCCTGGTGTAGGCCACTCTGTAGTTTGTGGTGTGGGAATTCGAGTGTAAATTGAGATCTAAACTCTTGGTGAATTTTCAAATTTCTCCCAAATACTTCAAAGGGCAGAAGCCATAAATTAATAGAAGTATTTAAAATGTGTCAAAGTCAGAACTTACTAATAACAAACATTTGCAAGGTTGGGCTTTATACCATGTGGCTCCCACCACACGGTTCTGAAAGCCCTTTGAAAGAGGTGATGATGAGGAGGAGAAAGATACTTAATACTTAGTAATCCTTCACTATGTGTCAGACATTGCACTAGATACTTTATGTTATTTCATTTAATTCCCAACAACCAAATGAGTTATCCCATTTTCCGGTAAGCAACTTCTGTGAAGGCCACATACCTAGGGAGAGCTGGAGCCTAGATCTGAACGTAGGCAAATTGACTCCAGAGTCAATGTTCTATTGTTGTGTTCTAGATATTATTGTTGTTATTATTATTAATTATACATATATATAATTAATTATTGCTTAAGTGAGGAAACATCACTGAAGAAGAGTTAAGGTCACACACCAAGGTCATCTCCCACAGTTATTAGTTGGAAGAGGCAGATTAAAATGCAGGTCTAGTGACTCTAGAGCCTCATCCCAAACTGTACTTCATGATTCTCAGAAAGTAATCTAAAAACAAGGCATATTTTTAAAGGGAGAACTTAAAAAAATTTCTCAAGAAAAATGTTTTCGGGTCAATGGGTACCAGTTAGGTTCTAAATAACTATAGGCACTGAACCAGCCTGGCAAGATAGGGAGGAGACATACTTTGCACATTCCACTTCTGGGTATGTTGGGTGGACATGTGAACTTGGAGTTTAACTTCTGAGGATACTCTACTGAATAGAATTATGTACTGCATTTATTGAAATGTAGAACTGTTTTATAATATTATATTCCTATTATGGTGAGTTATGGGGAAAAAACAGGTAACTTATTGCTCAGTGGTCTCAGAAATAAGATATACAATCTCATTAATTAATGAATATATAAATCATTATTACTACTAATAATATCTAGTTGGTAAGTCCCTACCATGCTTAGGGACTGTATAAGGTATCTTCCATATACTATTACTAATTTTTAAAAAAAATCACCCAGCCTCATGGGCATTATCTCCCCATTTCCAGAACAGCAAACTGAAGCTCAAAGAAGGGAAGAGATTTCCCCAAGAGTACACATCTGTTAAGTCGTGGAAGAAGGATTCATGCTCTGGCCTTGAAGGCCATACTTTTTCTGTTATACCATGCTGTCATTGCACTATGTGCATAGAATTATCAAACATTCATGTAGTACACATTCATTTGATCTTTTGTAAAATAGGCCAATCATAGTATCTGTTCATGGAGTTTTGTGAGACTTAATGACATAATCACATAGTGTACACAAAGCATTGAGCACCAGTTTTGTACAATACAGTGTGATAAAAGTAGCAGTAGATATGGACCCACATGCAGAGTGTTAGCACAGAGGGTCAATTGGCCATTCTTCTGTGTGGGAGAGAAAACCCTCACACAGCTCTAGTCATTAATATAATGAGCCTCTACAGTGTGATATTATAGAAAGACCTTTATGCCAGATGATTAAAAAAAAATGGTTTTAGTTCTTTCCTAAAGGAGAGGTTAAACATAAGAACTGTTCTATAAATAAAGCATATGTGCTGTTAAATCATGGTGTTTAAATTTTCAAAAAGAAGATTTGATCAATCTACATAAAGAAAAAAAACAAAAAGAAAACAAAAGGTGTAATAAACAGAAAATACAAAAAGATGACAATAAAAAGACCATATTAAAAAATATACCAGTTATCACAATAAATAAGATGAGTTAACATCTTACAAGGTACAGACTATCTGAATGGGTTCAAAACGGTCACACAAACTAAATATCCACATATATGCTCTCGGTACTGGGCATACCAAAAAAAGAGAAAATAAAAAACAATTTTGAAGTAGAGGTCCCCACAAAATTATTCCAGGCAAATTGTAACCAGAAAGCTAGAATATTTAATGTAAAACAAAGCAGAATTTAAGGCAAAAAGGATTAAATGGGACAGAGTAATATTTCATATTGATCACCAATAAAATCCAACAAGAAAGTATAATGACAGTGAGTCTCTGTGCACCAAGTAAAATTAGTGGAAGAAAAAAAATCAAATATGTTAGAATTATAAGAAGAAACTGACCAAAACAGATTTAGAAGAGATTTTTCTCTAGAAATCTCTGCAATAACTTAAATGTTTCACTCGAAACCATAAACTATTTGCATTCTTTTGAAAATTTCATTTACTTATTGTGCAAACATTCTGCTGCTGCTCTTTTCCTGCAACTCACCCTAAATGTCTTGTCAAAACTCACATTTTAGGGCCTTTTTTCCAGGGGGAGGGGGATTCCAAGCACCATAGTCAAAAAGACTCTTGTTAAATTTTGTGATTTCTGAATGAAGCAGATGAAGTTATCTTGCTAAAGAGGTAATGGGGGGCATTCAGATATTGTTTCTCTGAAGGCAACACTCTTCTCTGTCACCAGCATGCCATCGGATCCTTGAAGACAGCTCTAGCAGTGTTGATTTCATGGCTGCTCATGGTCAGATGTAACCTTGCTGACCATCTCATAATCATTTCAGACCAAGGCATGCAGCTAGACATCCTAGGTTTTGCTTCCACCTGCCACTCACTGTCTATCTTCAAGCAAGTCACATACCTTCTCTGAATCTCAGTCAACTTGTATTTGAAATGAGGAAATTGGGCTAGAATAGGCAGTGATTAAGGTCCTTCCCCTAAAGTTTTATTTTTTTATTGCTTGATTTTTACTCTTATCTTTATCTTTCTTCTAAAATCCTATATATTGACAGGAATACTTCCATGGTGTAATTTATGTAATATGAAAAGTAGCTTTCCATGCTTGTACACTTACTTGTCAGATCTTTGAAAGAAAAGAATAATAGAAAGTTTGGGGGAGCGGTTATTGGTGCCAGAGATTGAAGGGGCAGGTGTTACCCTTAAGCTTCTCAGCTTTATTTGGTATCCTCTTCATCTGCAGGTATCAGTAAGGCTGAGCCATAGCTAGTGTTGAGCAAATGTTTCTTGACTAAATGACTTATGCTCTTTCCTCATAAATGTGGCTTCTCCCATATTTAGCGGCATTGCAGGCACTGAAGAGAAAGAAGAGGTTTGAGAAGCAGCTCACACAGATTGATGGCACACTGTCCACCATCGAGTTCCAGAGAGAAGCCCTGGAAAACTCACACACCAACACCGAGGTGTTAAAGAACATGGGCTTTGCGGCAAAGGCAATGAAAACAGTTCACGAAAACATGTGAGTGGCTTTGGGCTCCCTCTGCAGCATAAATTCCCTCAGTGGAATGTATGGGACTGTGTGATGCATTTGGCAGGAATGGGCTTAAATCACATGAGGCTCTTTGACATACTGGAATGGAATGCTCCCTCAGAGAAAGATGAGAAGTTATCGTAGCAAAAGAAAAAGACCATGTAAAAAAGAAGCAATTCATTTTGCCCTTAATGTTTTCCAGTCTCCACTCTGTTTATCTGACACTCCACCTATAAATACATTCATTCGATAATTTCTAAGAGGCTTTGATGTCAACATCTGTGAGGGTGTTAGAACTATAGGGGTTTTCAAACTTCACCCAGAAAACTACTAAAGAGAGCACAGACACCCTGGCTCCTGGAAGCATGGGAGAGATGGAGCCGTTTTAGTTTTAAACAAATTCCCCAGGTGGTTCTGGTACTAACCAGTGTTTGAGAAGCATTGACCTAGAATAATAACTCTGACCATGGAGTTGTGGGTCAGAGTTTTTGGGTTGTAATCCCAGCTCTGCTGTTGACTGTCCTTAGTCAAATTACTTGGCCTGTCCCCAATTCAGTTTCCTCATCTGGGAATTGGAGATAATAATAGTACTTACCTCATGTGGTATTGTGAGGTTCAGTGAGATACTTGATCTAATGCACTTAGTGTGGGTCTTGGCACAAAGTAAACAATAATCAATATTCACAGTGTAGTGGGACTGGTGACAATTTGCTTTGCATTCACACTGGAATCAATGACTGGGACATAATCCTTTCCTAAGATTAAATGTGATAACGAAGTCTGGGCCAAGGATGCACAAGAGCAATGAGTACCTGAGGGTTGTAGAGACATTTCCATGGAAGGGAAAAGGTGGAAGAAGGGGAGGCTGGGGTCAGGGAAGACATCTTTGATAACATTTTCTTGCCTTGATAATTGGTGGACAATCAGCTGTCATTTTGACAGCTTCAGAAAGATCATTAGATTCATTATCAGAGTCAAATCCACTCTCATTGCTGTAAGGGGGCTGCTAAAATGCATCACAAAATCATAGCCTTTCTTTCTGAGTAGTTTAGCAGCATCATCTCATTGTATTCCTTTTGAGAAAAATTCACTCCTAGGACCAAACTTCAGCTGTATCTTTCTCAGACTTCTTTTCATAAAAAAATTCCTCATGTATTTGTTATAAATATAATTGTAAGAATTGGAAACAAAGGGCAGTAAAGGGCTGGTAAAAGTATTCTTTCTGATTAATAGATGAAATTATGTCAAAATACTCAGATTTTCCCATATGAAGAGTCTGGGAAACTTATGAAAGATTTATTCCACTGGAATCCAAATTTCAGTATTTGGGTTATTTAATAATGGGGAAAATTGTCACTTCCCTAGTATCAATTTGACCTAGTTTCAGGGTTGGAGGAATGATTCAGAGACAGAGTCTAGAGAAGCAGCCCAGATCCTGGCATTCAGACCTGACTGCTTGGGCTGGTGGTTGGGGGCCAGTGGGCCTCAGGTGTCAGAAACGGGCTTTGAAGCACTGCCTGTCCTGGGCCCAGAATCAGTAGCTATGGGAAATCAGGGCATCAGCAGCTGTGGGAAAGCCCCCCAGGAGCCAGGATCTCAGCTACTAAGCATTCTAGAAAACAGATCTCTAGTTCCAGAGCTCATTTTCTAGAAAAGGCTGCTGTCAGAGAGCAGCCACAGCCTGTCTTCGTCAGGGGGTCCCTGGTGCTTCATGGCACCATTTCCTGCAGAGCTGATACAAAGCAGCATATATTTAAATTTTGCATAGCCCTACCAGTCGAAATTTCAAAATAGGGCTACAAATATTTTTACTTTTAAAATAATTTGCTCTCTAGTGACTCCCAAATGTAATGGCTACTTATTTAATATTTTAAATATATGTGTATATGCAGGATTTTTTGAAATGCAGATTGTTCTTAAGGTTGATAAATATTATTGCCAGGAATTGTTGTTACTCTACTGCAATAACTGAATGATTGTATGAAATTGGCTCATTTTTCAGATGGGATCATACCTAAATTCATAATTTTAAAATAAAATTCTAAAATATTTCAACAAAATATTATTTCTCAGGGATCTGAATAAAATAGATGATTTGATGCAAGAGATCACAGAGCAACAGGATATTGCCCAAGAAATCTCAGAAGCATTTTCTCAACGGGTTGGATTTGGTGACGACTTTGATGAGGTGGGTAGCACAATGTAAAGAATGGAGTTATTATGGCCACTAAAAAGGATAGCTTCCTACCATATATAGCAAGGCAGGTTTCCTTAAAGAATTCCTTAAGTATCATTAAAGAATAAATGCTACTTGTTAAAAATGTACTTCCCTTAAGTGGGAAATGAAGTGTTGGTAGCTGATTTAAAGGAAAGATTAATATAGTTTGGCAAACAGCCCCCTAATTAAATTTCCAGCTATTAAGGAAAAACAGCATGTGATTATGTAAAGTTAGTGACTTTTAATGGTTGAAGCCTAAATAGCCCTATTACAAAGAATAGAGTGTTTGCACATCTGGGCAAAACAAAACAGACTGTGTCACTTTGCAAAGACGTATTGTGAGCCGTAGTTATAAAATTAGAGGTTAGGCTGCTTCTGTTTATTACTCAGGCCATGAAACAAAATAAATGTGGAGTAGCATTATTAACACACACATTCCACTGAGATTAATCAGTCCGGTAATACAGACTATAATTATAATAGTGATGTCTGCACTGTGAATGTCAATTGTTCCACTCAAAGCACACACAAGTAGGGACTGGTGCATATTTTGAAACATTTCCAGTTCTCAGATTAGCAATGTAAAAAATCTGACTTCCTATATCTATGTGGTATTAAAAATGATACACCTAATAAGTAAGAAGTAGTTCCATGGAATCCTAGGAAATGACAGTTGGGTGTCAACAACTTAAAAAATGGTGTAGACCAGGGGTTAGGAAAATATGGCTTTCAGGTCCAATCCTTCCTACAGTCTGTGTTTGGATGGCCTGTGAACTAAAGATGGTTTTCACGTTTAAAGGATTGCAGAAAACACCACCACCAGTAACAATAGCCACAAAGAAGACTATGCAACAGAGACCATGTGTGGCCTGCAAAGCCTAAAATATCACTGTCTGGCCCTTTGCAGAAAAAGTGTGCCTACCTCTGGTTAGACTAGCAAGGATCTGATGAGTGCGTTATGACATGGTGGGAAGGGCTCTGGCTCATGAGGACGACTGGGTTCTGCCATTTATTTCTAAACTTTGTGTAAGTCCCTTCAGAAACTGAAGTTTTCTCATCTATAAAAAGAAAATAATTAGATCACTAGATTATCTCTATAGTTTCTTAAATTCTAAAATTCTTTTTTATCAAAGAATAAGCACGTATTTGGTGCCTGAAGTCTGAAAATGATGGAGAAAATGACTACTCTGTCATCATATATGCTAAAGAAAATACCAATATCTTGTTGGTGCTGTTGATTAATTATCAAGCACAATGGACAGATCTGGGCACACATTCAGTGTAGGAAAGCATGTTGCTCCATTACTATATTTACTAGATTTTCCCCCCATGGTTTTGTGAGCAGAAATAGGACATCAGAGTATTTGTTCTGAAGACACTATTCATTTCACCTGTGGAGAACCACAAAGCACATAACTACATCGACCATACCATTTTACACAGCTCAGTACTATACACTTTCATGTCTTATTTCTTTTTCATGATGTGGATTTAACAGTGGTGAGACCATCATTTAGCTTGTTGCACGTCTGATACACAATGACTTGATCAAGTGTTGTAGTTGGCTTAAATATCTTCTTTCTTGGCCTATAGTACTGCTACTCTCATTTTAATACAGGATAATCTTCAATGTGCATTTCTCCCACATTCAGTAACAAGCGCCTTAAATGTAGGGGCTGTTGATTCAACTTTGCATCCCCAGCACTGAGTTCCAATACCTGGCCAAGAATGAGTGCTCAGTAAATTTGCTCAATGATGAATGAATGAAGGAAGATTTCTCCTTGGTTGAACATGAATGTTAAGTCATTTCTAATGGTGACAACCTCAGAATTCTAATGATGAGATATTTAGTTTTGATTCCAACCTCTCACAGGGGGACTGGATTCTACCTGAGAACTCATGGAGCTAGTTAGCTCTGAACTACTGCAAGTCATCTCTTAACCTGTCATAAAGTAACTTGTATGCTTCAAGTCTCAAACTCGTATTGCCTCTCTAAGGTTCTTTGGACAGAGAATAGTTTACGATTAAACCAAATTCTCTGGAACTGTTGCTAAAAGAAAAAATTAATGTACCTACCCTGAGTTGAACTTTTCTTAACCCAGACGCACAGCATGATTTGTACTGGGTTTGGTACTTTAACAAAGGACCTATTGTATCTTTGGTTCTTTTTACTTTTTATACATACGGTTTTGCTATACCTATTGTTTTATTTTTAATAGCATTAGCCCAAATGAAAATATTTATTTCCTCTGATTAAAGTTTCACAGATTTGTAGTTTTTAACAGTAGAAAAGAAAAGACATTGGAAAAATGACAGACAAGGTGCAAATTTCCTAGAAACTGTGGAGGTAATATATTCAGCTGTCACAAATTACTTGAGTAACTGTTTACTGAGTATTATAAGATTAACTACAACAAATTTGTGCAACCAAAATACTCATTTTTTAATCATTGCTCAGTGTTGCAAAAAAGACTTAGTCTTAAAATAAATATTCCATCTCACTGGATTCTCACATATCAATTGGGTAGCAGATGTTCTTATGATTGTGTTTGAGGAAACCCACTTCTCGAACCACTAACTCCATAATTTTTTCTTTCTCATATGTTCAGGATGAGTTGATGGCAGAACTTGAAGAATTGGAGCAGGAAGAATTAAATAAGAAGATGACAAATACTCGACTTCCAAATGTGCCTTCCACCTCCCTCCCAGCACAGCCAGCTAGAATACCAAGTAGAATTCCGAGCACAGCCTCCACTGCCCATCGAGCCCAAGCAGGTCTGTTCCCCACCTCTGGTACCTGTGGTCAGGGAGTTGCTAAAAATAGTAGCCAGGCCTATCCCTTTTGGCACCTATTTCTTATTTTTTAAATATATACCTTTTTATACATAATTCATACCTGGTTTCTGTGCTGAAAGTATGAATGTTACCAATTACTAATTTTTATCCATTTTGTTTTCTAGCATCTTCCAGGAGGACAGAAGAAGAGGATGATGATATCAAACAGTTAGCAACTTGGGCTACTTAAACTAAAATGGAATTTTTTGACACCTAAATTGATGATTTGTACATAAGACAGAAAAAAAATGTTTCCAGTTTCAGGAGTTAACAAAGGTCCTGTTTTATATTTACATTGGATGAGTAATTGTCTTTTAAGCTTCATATGTGAAAGTTAAAAATGGAGTCATATGTAGACATAGAATCAGGGATGGAAAGGGACTTCCTGGTGGCATCTTGGAGGGTCCCTCCATCCTCTTGGGAGGGGACATTCTACCTTGTTCACTACTGTATTTCCAGTCTTGGCACGTAGTGGTGCTTTCTGTATATTTGTGGAAAGCAAACTGGATTCTATTAACATATAAAACATAGAATATTTTACAGGCCACTTAAGAGTCATGCATTTAGGACAGCTGGGGAAAATCACTTTCTTTTCTTTGTGGATGCAAGTTTGCTGCATGTATCTGTGTTGGGAGGTATGTAACCCATAATGCAAATACAGGGTCTCTTGTATGGGAGACTTCATGTTGAAGAGTCTTGTTTGAGTCTATACATAAATAGGTTTACTTGAGTTTTGCAGTTTAAAATCTTAAAGGAGCTTTAATTGTCATTTATTATGCCAATTAAGCTTGGAATGGGGCAGTACTTCCATTTCCTAAAATGTCTGAAAGCACTAACAGCTCACACTGCTGAGCAAGAATCTCCTGGGTGTAATTTAGCCACTTAGGGAACTACGTTAACACTCCCAGGCCATTATGATGCTGTTATGGTTTCAGCGTGCTAAATGTGTGAAAGAACGTTCTTCTCTGTTTTGTTTTCTCTTGTACATTTATTTACCTTTTACAGCATATTCCTTGTAAATAGATAAAAATATAGGTGATTAAAAGTATGTCTTGAATAATATTTTGTCCATAATTACTTTTAAATGAAAGTAAATTTCAAAATTATGTATTGCCCATAATATGTCAGGGGCCATAAAATGACAAATGTCATTATATGAAATGTTCTAGTATTCCTTACATTTGCTTCGCGACATAGTGGAATGAAAAGGACAGTAGAAGTGGAGGTAGGAGTCCTGGATTCCAACCTCTGCTCTGCCACTAGCAGGTACGACCAGGCATGTCATAAACTCTGAGCTTTTGTTTCTTCATTGGGAAATCTAAGGGCTGGACTTGATGATGTAATGGTCTTGATGTAAAGGTCCCATCCTGCCACAGGCCTTTTGCTTATGCTGTTTTTCTTAAATCTTGACACCCTCCACGGCACAGATAACACATCTTCCTTATTCCTTATATCTTAGTTAAAATGTCTTTTGTTTTGGGAAGCTTTCCCTGATTGCACAGGCCGAATCAAGTCTCCTGTTCTGCTTTCATAACACTCTGCTTTCTCTCCTATTATCTGTCATGGTTTAGTTGGACACATATTTACTAGGATGATTACTTAATTACTGTTGTTCTTCCCTGCTGTGCTGTGGTAAGCATGAGGGCATGGACAGCACCTTTTTCAGTTCAATAATGTATCCCCAGAATTCTGCAGTTTCTCATATGCCATGGGCATTCAGTAAATATTTATCAAATGAATGCCTATTAAGTTTTTACATATTTGGGGCCATGATAGAATAACAGGAACTGGATTCACCTGCTACCCTCAAACAACTAGAAAACTGGAAAATATATGAAACAACTGTTAAAACTGGATAAAATGTATGAAACTAACCTGGTCCCTGAGAGGAAAAAGAAGGGAGTAAGCAATGCTGGTTCGGTGGCCTTCATAGGGAAGGGAGCCCAGGGCCGCTGGAGGGAGCGAGCGAGCGATGCCGGTTCACGAACTCACGGCCTTCCCAGGGAAAGGAGCCCCAGTAGACTCTGCTAGCCTTCCTGAGTGGAGGAAGTCTGGAGGGCAGGGTCCTGGAAAGGAGGCTGCTGCACAGAGAGAGACAGAGAGAGAGTGAGCTTCAGGAGAACTGCAGAGGGTCCCTTCACGTCTTCGGCTGGGAACCGATTTGCATACATGTCTGAGGGAACTGCTGAGGCCAAGAAGAACCACCGGAAAGGAGATCCATCTCAAGGACTCAGAGAGCTAGCAGTAGTTGGTATTCCCACTAGGCACAGTGGAAAGACCTCCTGATTCCCAGGGCATCATATTGAGTCCTCAGAAAGATATTGCCTCAGTAGTGAGGTCAAAATGTGCCTAGACTCAAAGCTTAAAAAGATGAATTGATTCCAAGTAACGTAACTGTACCCCAGAACAAAATCCTTTTATATTCCTTTTATGTTTAAAGGGATATAAAAAGCTAACAAAGAACAACAACAATGCAACTAAAATAAAACCCTGGTACCCAACATTATAAAATTCAGTCTGGCATCCAATCAAAAATGTTCAGGCATTCAAAGAAGCAGGAAAAACAACCCATAACCAGGTACTATATCAAAAAGTAGGAACAACTCAGAAATGATATAGATGATAGAGTTAAAAGGCAAGGAAATTAAAATAGCTGTTATAAATATGATCCATATGTTCACCAAAAATACTATAGTAAATATACTCCATACATTTGCAAAAGGAGAGAAAAGCATGATCATGAGGAAGAGAAAACTGGCAGATATTAAAAAAAAGACTCAAATTGAAATTCTAGAGAAGAAAAATACATTATCTGTGATGAAAAGTACAGAATAGAGTGGATAGGTTTAACATCAGACTAGACACTGTTGGAGAAAAGTGAACTTGAGGTAGAACAACTGAAATTATTTTAAACAAAATACAGAGAGAAAAGAAGATCAAAATTTTAAAAAATGGAGCAAGAGAAGCTGTGAGACCATATTAAGCTGCCTAACATCCAGGTAATTGGAGTCCTGCAATGGTGGTGGTGGGCAGGGCGGATGGTTTGTGGGGCTTTTGGGGGAGGGAATAAGACAGAAGAAATCCTTTGAAGAAATAATGGCTGAAAAATTTCCAAATCTGGTGAAAACTATAAACTGAAAGTTCAGTAAAGCTCAGCATGCCTCAAGCAGAGATCCTTTTATCTTTCAGTAACAAAAGTTATTGTGAACGCTAACACATCAAAACCTCATGAATGAGATCTGAGGTGTTTGAACATCTCTCGCCTCCTGGTTAAACACAGCGTGCCTAGCTAGTTCTGCCACACTGTGAGGTTCAAACAGTATTCTTCAGCCACAGGAAACGAGCACTTGAAATGTGGCTAATGCAGCTGAGGAACTGAGTTTTTAGTCTCAATTTTAATTACATTTAAAAACAAGTGCTCAGTTACAAAAAAACAAGTATGGTTAGAACAACTTGGGTATATCAATCTTTTCCAACTGTAAAGTTTATAGAATCTACATACAGACCAAGTATTTCTGACTGAAATTTGCAAGGTGCTCTAAGTATAAAATATACACTAGATTTCAAAGACTTAGTGTAAAAAGAATGCAGAATATCTCATTAATACTTTTATACTGATTTCATGTTGAAATATTATTTTAGATGTATTGCATCAAGTAAGATATATTATTACAATTTATTGTACCTGTTTCTTTTGATCTTTTTTGAATGTGGGTACCTGGAAATTTAAAATTACATATGTAACTCATGTTAAATTTTCATTGGTTATCTTGGGCAAGGAGATCAATTCTTCACTATCAGTGAGTGTCCAGAAAATGTATGATTTGAAGAATTAAAATTCCAAAGTATTAAAAAACTAGAGAAATTTTGCACATGTTGACATCTTATTCTGAAAAGAAATAATACTTTGAAAGAAAAATCATAATGTTGCCCTTCTGTTGACAAATAGGAAAAAGTAAAAGAAATGAGAGAAAAGGTATAAAAATAAGTCATCCTCCAAAAGTGGGAGAGGATGCAAAATAAATAACTAAATCATCCTTTGTTTGAAGATGGATTAAAAAGGAGTAAGGGTATTAATCAGACATCTAATGGTTTTTCCAGCAAGACAGCCTTAGGATGCAACAGTTTTTGTTTGAAAGTTAAAAATTCTGGGATGTCTGTTAAAAATTGGTGTTGTTACATTACAGTTGTACTTCAGGGGTGGACCTCCATGCGGGCAGTGCCGAATAGCTAGTCAGTTGTGTTTTTTATTTTTAAATAAAATGATTTCCAATATATCTGTTGGGTTCTTCTCTTGGTTGTAAAAAACACATTCAGGATAACTTGAGACAAACTCGGATTTATTGGAAGTGATTTGAGTAGTTCTCATAGTCAAGCGCAAATATGAGGAAGATCAGAAACCAGACAGCCTCAGAGCTAAAGGACTCCTTCCTCTGAGTGGCCAGCTGCAGGGAAAAGTGGGCTACTACCATTCTGAGCAAGCTATTCTGCTCAAGAGTCAAATTCTAGAACCAGAATACCTGACTGGCCCAGCTTGGCCCATGTAGTTACGTCTGGACACTCATCAACTGGGAAGCAAGAAGGGGTGGGAGTTGTTAAAGTATAATCAAAGTGCTCCTCCTGAAGAAGGGGGAATGGATGTTGGCTCCTAAAACCAAAAAACTGCCTCACACAGTAGCTGTCCACTCAATAACTAAGAATAATTAAATTGGAACTGAAGCATTTTCTCATTCTTGGCAAACATAGTCTGAGCACTGATTTATTTAGTAGAAATTGGAGTAACATAGTTTATACACCATTGTGGTATGTGTCTTACTAAAACAAACTGGATAATGTGTCAAAGTTAGCAACCCAAGCTAGAAAAAAGAAAAAAAATCCAGAGGAGTCAGGACTAATGAGGATATCTTGGTACCATTACGTTACAGCCCTGGGGAACAAATCAATTAAATGTTAGTCGATTTCTATGTCATCTCTCCACTTCCTTTCTCTCATCTTCTTAATTTAAGACAGATATTAATCTTGCTCCTGGAAAAAGTGTTTCTTGAAATAGCCAAAGTCCTCCTCTAACTTCAAATTCACTTAGCATCATTTGTTTCTTGGCTTACTAGAAGTTTGATTGCATTTTATATAGGACATTTGAGCCATTTTTCAGAAGACTTAGTATATTTTAAGGAAGTACAGGCAGGTCAAAGCAGTGAAGTTATTATTAAGGAGAGATGGCCAAACGCTGAGCCAGTAGGCAATGCCTCTGATTGTGAATGATTCTCCCGAACTTTTCTAGTACTCACAGCTATTGAAGGTTGTATATACACTATTATTTGTGATATAGGAGGATTAAGTGTTCCCTCTCAGCAATCAGACAAAACTCTAATTCAGACTTCTTTGTGGAGCACTGAAAGGGTGATCTGTATGTGGTTGATTATTTTGATTGTGTGAAATATATCTACAAATAAATGTGTAGATTCTATGCTTATATTCAAATTACACAGACTGTGTATTAATACCAAATGTGTGTGTCCCATACTCTTTTAAAGTATGCTACTCCTTGCCCTCCATAACTTTCCTGTATTCTCTTAATCTCAACTCTTGCTTTTCTTTCTCTTCGGTTCATGCAGCCTTTTTCCTACCTCATAAATGTGAATCTTTCTCACATTTTCCATGATTCAGTAATTTGTTCTCTCTTCCTTCTGTTTTCTTACTAGATCTCTTTTTAAATTATAGCTTCAACTCTCACTACCATGGGAATGACTTAGAGATCATTCATGAATTTACTCAGTCAACCAATATTTGCTAAAAATATTATACCCTGACCTCTGAGCTAGGATTAAAGCTTAATAAAACATGTCATCATGTATATTTCTACTCATGAACTCTATCCCAAGCTCTAGTCAACTAGACATTAGGTATCCTCTAGATTTTCTGCCATCTCTTCAATATCAAAGTCTTTAAGTCATAACATCTATTTTGCCTGGTATCTCCAGCTCTTTTAATTAAAGTTGTCATGGAATATCCTTTTCCATCTTTTTATGATTAATCTGTATCTGTACTTGAATCTGAAGT